ATGGCAAAACGCAGACACGCTTTTTGTAGCGCTTTTTGTCCTTAAGCCGGGGAAAAAAATTATTTTTATCTCTGATGCACTGAGACCTTCATACGTGCATTCACTATATAACGAACTCACATAACGTATCTTATTTGAATGATGGCATGGAGCCGTCGAAACGTCATTCTTTAATATCGCTGCTTTTTATTCTTAAATGTTTATCGAAAACCTTAGTTATTAAAAAAAAATAAATTGGCGAAAAACAAAATTCGCTTTGACTTGTAGCTTTCAAAAGGTGCCTAGGGCGCTCGCATTTAGTGGTCCTCAAAAAATCGGCAATTAATTCCATTTCAAAATTCTTGGTGTGGTTTGATAGCCAGCTCTATAAGCTTTAATTTGATATGGGGGTTTAGTACCTACCGCTTAAACCGGACGCGCTACATCGCTTGGACGCGAGACATCCCTGAAGGTATACGGTAACCTTAACAAGATTTTGTTGACCGAAAGCCTCCTATTTTGTCTGCCGGCGCAAGGTGTCATAAAGGATTCGAGCTTAGGATTAATTGGGGAAACTAGAACGTTTTGTTGTACCGATGTGTTTATGACATACTCTCGATCGTCGTTGGCTTGTTCATGCCACCGTTTCGATGTTGTATCGCATGTCGAAATTTTACCATAACTACCACCCATAACAGCTAGCTTATAGGGCCTCTTTTATCCCCGTTATTGTACTTTACGTTTCTCCACGGAGTTCACAATTTATTAAAAGACTTGTGAATATACTAGTAATACTAGCGGTCCTACATGCTGTAAAACATGTGACGGGGTTTATTGTCCAACATGTTTTTTTTTTTTTTTCCCTCAAAAAGGAGACTTTGACCTGCATTTTGCGTTTGTGCGCAAAACTGTTTCATTCAGTTTAAATACTGTGGGAGAATTGTACTTGTTTGGTGCAATATTTGCACTCCATTCAATGAGTGGTATTGACACCTTGGCAGTGGCTAGAACTTAAAAGCCTGTAAAGAGATCCCCCAGTGGGATGTAAGGGGAGTGTAATCGCAGGGAAGGTTGGATATTTTCAGGAACGTAGGCAGCATTGGAGAAAATCTTAGTCAAAGAATCTAAGTAAGTGTCTTCAGCTATTTGGGCTTGGAGGAACAGGCAATTCTGGGGATCCCTTCCGACGATCTCTAGGCTCTCTTTCTAGGAACGATCGCTTCGATCGCGGAAAAGATCACTACGAGCATTTTTCCAGCGATCGTAGAACCAGCGTTAAGGAGTCAACTTGAATTATGGACTAATATTTTTGCGAGAGTTTATTTTTTCGAATCGGCTATTTTTGAGTTATTTTTTTGTAAAAAAAATATCTCTTAGTCGGCGCGTCGGGTATGTTATGGACGGGTC